TCAGGGTGGAAAACAGTTTGGTGGATCTCAAACAGTATGGTAGAATTACCACATGACCCAGCAATTCCACTTCTAGGTATAAACACAAAGGAGCTAAACACAGGAACTCAAAGAGATACTTGAACACTCATGTTCATAGCAGCATTATTCACAACAGCCCAAAGGTGGAAGCGACCATGTGTCATTGGGGGTTGAATGGATAAACAAAAAGTGTTTATCCATACAATGGAATATTAGTCAGCCTTAAAAAAGGAAATTCAGACACACGTACAACATGAATGAACCTTGAGGACATTGTGCTAAGTGAAATAAGCCAGTCACAAAAAGACAAATCTTGCATGATTCCACCCATATGAGGTATTTAGAACAGTCAAATTAATAGAGACAGAAAGTAGAATGGTGGTTGCCATGGGAGGGGGGACTGGAAAGTTGTTTAACAGGATAACAGTTTCAGTTTTGCAAAATGAAAAGAGTTTTGGAGATTGGTTGCATAACAATGTACATGACTACACTGTACACTTAAAAGTAGTTAAGATGGTAAATATACTATATTAAGCTATATGTATGTTACCACAATTATAAAAGAAAATAGAAATCTTAACTGTTCAGGTAAAAGGATGAGTTCAGACTTGAATAAAGGTCTGAGTGTTGACATAAAATTTGTACTAATTTGGCCAGCTTTAATTCTTTTAGAGGCTTGTTCTGTTAGCTTGTAAAGTTGGCCTGGAGTGAAATTCAGCTGTGCTATTTAGCAGAGAGCTTGGCAAAGAGAAGGCGCTCAATATTTGGTGGACGAAGAGTTTTAATTTTCTAAAGGACAGTTATTGTACAAGAATTGTATCTCTCCCCACAAACCACAAGCACAGCCAAGTCCATTGGGCCTTTTCAGAGCCCTGACCATGTGCCAGGCCCTCTGCTGGTACAAGGGGACACATCAGACTGGTGCCCAGTGCTCAGGCAGTGCAGGAGCTAATTGGGGCAGCATTTGGAAGCTCGAGACTCACAGTGAGCAGCATGTCCGTGTCATAGGCAGTGCCTCTTCACTGTATGCACTGGGCCCTGAGAGACCAGATTCCTTCAAGCTCTGTGCAGTGAAGGGGAGAGTTGTGTGTGACCTGCTGAGGGTTTCAGGCAGAAGGAGTCACAGAGAAATTCACCAACACCAGCATTTTTCAAGTTGGGAAAGGGGGTGCTGAAGCCTGAGAAAGGAGGAGTGTTAAAAAGTGGTCCTCATAACTTGGCTCAAGTCCCGAGCTCACAGGTGCAGGTGCTCCCTATACCATGCTGCCTCTCCCAGCCCTTTGCTCCCCACTCATCCAGGTCCCACAGAGAAATCCATCTCAGGGGACTTCCCCTCTCTCACATAGGAGTTCTGGCATCCACTCACCATTGAAGCGGACTGCCCGAATATACTGCAACAGTGTCCGCCCATCGGTGGGCTCCATTGCTGGGCACAGGCCTGTATGCCCAGGACAGAGCGCCTGGTGCATGCTGTGTAGGGCATGGGCAATGGCGTACACTGCGTCGATCACAAACTGCACCTTCCCCTCCTGTTCGTAGGTAGAGTCCCGGCCGATGCGTTCTTCACCTGTCCTAGGGATGCCCAGAGGAAATGCGCCTGGCCCCCAGATACCTAAACTGGCCTCCCACCTTTTCCATCACCTTCCTTGCCACCCTCTCACCTGTGCATTTGCGGGTGGATTTGTCTGACTGGGTACCTGAGCTGGTCAGTTTGCAGTTAAAATTCTCTTCCCAGAACTCTGCAAACCAGATGTTCCGGCGGTTGTTCTCCAGGGAGCGTGTCATGAAGTACTGGTCAAATCCTGAGAGGGAGGGGGAGAAGGGTGGTAACCATAGCCAGCCACAGTCACCCTGTGTCCCTTCACCAATTGCTCACTTTGCAGCTAGGAATCGCCATTGAACCAACTTCTGGCCTGTGAGTTCAAAGACATCTGGGGACTCCTTGGTATTTTCTGATGTTTGCATCCTGATGTAAACCTGAGCCTCACTACATGAAATACTTTTATGCTGCACATTCTTTCCTGGTTAGGATGCTGCTGTGAACATGTAGTGGGTGGAGCTTCAGCAGCCACTTTGTAAATATGATGCCACAAGCATGAAGACTCAGCAACCACAGAGAGTGGTGAAACAGAAGGGAGGACAGAGCTCAGCGCTTTGAGAACATCATTGACTCACTGCCCCAAACCTGAAGTCTTGTGATGAAATGCTTTCATTGCTGAGACTATTCTCAGTCTAGTTTGCCACTTGCAACTGAATGCATCCTAAAAAAAGCCTGCGGAAAGGATGTGAGGGTGGATGTATACCCCAAGAGGTATTAGTGTGGGAGGCAGGGCTCAGTGTTATGAGGGTCCACACTTTACATATAGCCCCGAAGTCCCTCATCAAGTTATCTGCAGTTCATTCAGCCTTTGGGAAAATGAGCAATACTGTTGTAAAGTGGACATCCCTGCTAGATTCTTCCAGATATTCACAGATGGGATAGTGGGAAGGAAAAAGGTAGGGGCGGCCTCATTACTTTGAGCAATAGGACAGTAAGTCCCATCTCCTTGGTTTCTCTCCCACCCTCACCCTAAAATCATAATGCCTTCGACAGAATGAGGAATACAGGTGTTGAATTAAAAAATAAAACAAAACAAAAAGCACAAACTAAAAAACAATTTTTTTTACCCTGTATGTTGGCTGTGCTTTTCCTCATTTGCTAACTCATTCAAACACTACTTGGAGGGATGTATTTACAGAATCTCAGAATCATAGAACTTGGGACTCTTAGAAGGGACCTGGATCACAGTATATTTTACCAATGGGGTAAATGAGTGCATCCAGAGGGATGGCGGAAAAGGATGGGGTGGGGGTAGGGGACAAAGTGGAGGAGGTCATCCCTACACTCACCATCAATGGAAGCTCTTTTGGGCAGGATAGTGATAGCCCCCACTGCCACGTCCTCCAGGTTCAGGATGGGTGAGATCTTGGCTCCCCAGCTGTCTGAGCCAACCCACAGGAAATGGCCAGTCAGGTTGGCCTGGCGTGCAGCCTCGAGGACCCTCCTGGTACAAACAGGGCTGAGGGTGAATAAAGTCCTGAGATCTTCCTTCAACTTACCTCTAGTCAGTTCTCATTCTTCTCTCTCCATCTATCCCATTCCACATCACTCATCAGATCCTCATTGATCAGGGAAAAATGGAGTATAGAGTGTTTAGAACACTTGCCCTGGGCTTCTGAGGTGGTCAGGGGTCCCGGGCTTGCCCTCTTGCTCCATGCACTATAATGCACTTCACACTGCCTGGAAGTAGGCTACCTTTTCTCTTACAGAGCCTCCTGCTGGCCCTGCCCCAGGGCTCCTTCCCTTTTGCTCATTTTCTGCACTTAGATCTGCCCACAGGTTTCCCCACTATGAATTATAAAAACAGGCATGTATTCTTGTGTATTTTCCTGGCTAGACTTAGAGCATCTCCACTTAGAGCAGACCAGGCAGAGATTGCAGCAGGAAAAGTGTGTGTGTGTGTGTGTGGGTGGGTGGGGGGGTGGGAGGTGGGAAGGGGGGGGGCACAAGAAAGAAGGAAAGGGAGGAAGAGAGGATGTGCATGTGGGGATGAGTGAGAAGACGAGGTAGGGCCTTCAAGGAGAGTATCCAAAGAATAGTGACTGAAGTTTCATCCATCCCACCTGATGTCATCCTCGTTGGCAAAGATGATGATGCCCCGAGCGTTGGGAGTCTCCATGAGTCGTCTGATAACCTTGTTGAATTCTCCTGGCTTTGGTTCTCTAGGAATCTTGATGGACTGGGCAATACAGACTCCCCCTGAGTGTCCAGGATGCCAAAGTCAGCTTTCATCCATCCCACCACTCACTGGGGCTGCCAGAGTACATGACTCTGTAGTGTGATCACTCAGGAGTCTGAGCCAGGGTTCTGCAGGGGTAAAGCCTAGCCTGTGCCCCACCTGCCAGGCCATGAGGCAGGACTGAGTCCTCCAAAGGAAAGGGGCGCTGATAGAAGACACATCCAGGCTCCCCACCATGGCCCCAGTGCCCCTATTTCACAGCCCCTGGTTCTCCCCTCTGTAGGTTCCTTGGTGCCTCTGACTCTCCTGTCCCAACTCACCTGCCTCTCGGGAGATCTGCACAAAAGCCTCAACCCCGCTCTCTCCATAGTTGCCCTCGGAGGCCAGCGTGGATACATAGTTCCATCCCAATGCCCGCACGATGTCCACCATGGCCTGGGCCTGGTAGGAATCAGGAGGCACCACACGGGAGAAGAAGTCGTAGCGTGTGGAGTCGCTGAGCTCAGGGGCTGTGGAGGCATAGCTGATCTGGGGAATCTGGAGGGGGAAAGAACACCTAGGCTGTGGAGAGAGGTTCAGTGACCGCAGGAAGGGAGGGCAATGGGGACTCAGGATGCAGGTGGGGGCACAGAAGGTTTGGGGTAGGGAGCTGAGAACCACTGGGAGTGGCAGAAGGTGTGGGGAATGACCTGCATCTTGTGAATAGGGCAGATGAAATAGGGGAGGTATGAGGGTCTAGGGGAGTGGGCAGGGCCACCACATCCAGTTGTGCAGGGTGTGTCTGAGCAAAGGAGTGGTGGGCGCTCAAGCCCAGCCTGCAGCCAATCTCGCCTCTAGGCACAGGCTCTGTCTGCCCTGGAGAAGGACATCCTTATCAGTCCCAGAGGAGACAAGTTTTCCTACTTCACACTAAGGGGTGGTCTGTGTGGGTGGGGGCAGCCCCAGGAGGGGTCAGAACAGGCAAGAGAGCTGGTGAGGGACACTTGATTCAGGGCTAGTGTCTAAAATCTGTGGTTTCAACACCACCTCAGTTCTGGGCTGAGCTGGCAGCATTGGGCCCTGGGCTCACAGGGTCCTGCTCATTCAGCTACAGTCCTCACTCGGACCCTGAAGGCCCTTGAGTTTGAGATGCTGCACCCAACCTAGAAGGAGAGACAGAAACCAGAGCTGCAGGCAGGGAAGGAGACAGAGCCCGCCCACAAATGTGAACATACATGAACTGGTGAGACAAAGACACCGCCCCCCCACAACACACACACTCTCTCTCTCTCTCTCTCTCTCTCTCTCTCTCTCTCGGCAGCCACACAACCTCTCTTGGTGCCATGTAGAAGGTGCATCTGTATGCTCTGCACCAACATTGCCATCCAGCAGAAACTGAGGTATGAGGGATTAAGTGGGTGCAGATGATGGAAGGGTCCCTGAGAAAACCTCCACCTAGTGCCATGGAGAATCAGAGGGCCCCTGCCTAGCCAGATGGAAGCAAAGCTCTCTTTCTCAGAAAGATAAAAGGTCAGAGATAACCCCCTCATGGAACTCAGTAAACTTTCCCAGAAGCCACCCCAAGTGAATGTACAGAAAATCACCAACTCTACTGCAAAGGCCTCCTAATCCCTGATTCCTATGGCTCCCCAAGCCACTGACCCTCAGATTGCAAGGAAGGTGCTGCCTCCCACAGAAGACGGTTAGCAAGAGATGAGGGCAGGGCAGGGACTGCCCAAGCTTCTCCTACAGGACAGGGCACTTCAGACGAAAGGAGAGTCCTCTGTGGCCTCTTTCAGGGGCCCCTTAAGAGACCTTTAGAGACAGCCATTTTGAAATTGAATTTAAATGATGATCAGAATAGAGGATCAAAGTACAGGTCCTTACAGACCTACCCACCCCCAGAGCAGCCAGGAACTTGTGCGGCTTGCCCCACCGTTAGGAGGGCCCTAATTCCGGGAAAAACTTGCTCCTTGTCACCCAGAGCTCTCCACCAGGGTCCAGGGTCAGGACCTCCATGTACGGTTGTGCAGCGTATGCCCCAAACTAGGACACCAGCGGCGAAGTGGGGTCTAAAGTCCAGGGCGCCCTGCTGTCAGCTAGGGGGGTTGGTTTTCTTATTCACACAGCGGGCTGTGTGGGGGCGGCAGCCGCTGGAGGGCGCCAGAGCAGACAAGGGAGGCTGAAGTGGTGGGGACCTGGCTCAGGCGATGTCTGGCTGGACCCATAGGCTTCCTTTGAAGCAGTTGTTTGTCTTTGTGAGTTGGAGTGACTTCTGCAAGGAGACTACACCTCCGCCACCCCAAGGGAGAGGATTGGACGGAGGGGCTGGATACCGAACGCGGCCAGCGGCCCTCACCGCAAACAGACGCAGCACGTTGGCGACCATGATGGAGACTGAACTGGCCGAGGCTCCCACGACAGCCACCACGCGCTCGGGGGGCGCGGCGCGCAGCGGGGGGACGCCGCCAGGGCAGCGCACGGCTGCCTCCCCGCCGTCGCTGCGGCCGCGGATCAGCGCCTGCAGGAAGCTCAGTGCCTGCTCCAGCGCGTACGTGTCCCGGGAGCAAGTGTCGAGCAGCCGCGCCCCCAGACGCACGCCTGGCAGCAGCTCGGGGTCTGCGTTGATGCGGTCTAGCGCGTACAGCATGGCCTCCAGCCGATGAATGCCCTGCTCCTTCTTCAGCGGCCCACACGCCCTGCCCGCCGCACCCCGCGCGTGCACCGGGAACAGGCCGCCCAGCGTGAGGCCGCCCGCCAGGCGCACCGAGCCTGCCACAGCAGCCAGAGCGCCGCCTGCGCCAGCATCAGCACCAGGATCGGTGGCAGCAGCGCCTGCAGCGGCGGTTCCAGGATGCTCCGGGGCCCGGCCATTGGCTCCCCGGCTGCGGGAGGAGACTGGACGGACGGGGAGAACACGGAATCGAAGAATGCTCCGAGTGCTTGCCTGGCCGGGGAGAACTGGGGAGCCCCGGGAGCTAGGGAGAGGGAGGCCGAGCCTATCAGAGAAGAGGTGGGATATCAACTCGGCACTGTCCCAGCCCCGCCCCCGCTGCTCTCAACACCCTCTGAACCTTATCACACGGCCCCTGCCCGACCATTATCTCAGCGCGCAAACCCTTCCCCTTCCCGATAGTCCTGGGCCACTCTTCCTGGGGCCCATCCCCAGCGCACACCCAGGCCCGCCTCTGTAGCCACACTCACCTGTGCCAGCCTCTGCCGGGTCAGAACGCAGCTGTGACAGATGTGGAGGGAAGAGAGAGAGAGAGAGAGAGAGAGAGAGAGAGCTGGGACAGTGCCGAGTTGATATCCCACCTCTTCTCTGATAGGCTCGGCCAAGATTTATTGCGCGCCTCCCTCTCCCTAGCTCCCGGGGCTCCCCAGTTCTCCCCGGCCAGGCAGGCACTCGGAGCATTCTTCGATTCCGTGTTCTCCCCGTCCGTCCGGTCTCCTCCCGCAGCCGGGGGGGGGGGGGGGGGTAGAGCGAGAGAGAATTTAAGGATTGTGGGGAAGGGATGAGAGGCTGCTCTGAGGGCAGAGACCCGTCCTGAGCAGGGATGTGCGAAGAACTGGATCTCTCCACATCTTCTTTCCCTCCCTCTCCTACTCCCTGGGTCTGTTTCTTTCCTGTCTTTGGATGTGTGTTGTCTACCTGACTCTGACTGTCTTTCTCTCCGGCTGTCTTTGACACACACACTCTGTCCTCTGTCTCTGGTCTCGTTGCTTCTCTATTTCGGTCTCTACCTTTCTGTCTCTCCCATTCTCTTTTCCCTTTCCCTCTCTGCCAATTTTTCTGTATCTTTCTTTGTCTCTCTCTGTCTCTTATCCTTTTTCTATCTCTTTCTCCCTTTCTTTCCTTACCACCAGTCTTTTGACTCCAGCTGCCTAAGGTACTCCCCAACTTTCTCCTTGCAAAACCCTGCAGTAAACCCAAGAGTAGAAGAAAGGAGCACAGGCTGTGAGCTGAGTGGACCTGCACAGAAAGAGGGAGAACAGGGCTGGGCAGGAAGAAGCCAACCTTTAATATTTTTAAATTATGTTTTTATTGATTTCACAGAGAGGAAGGGAGAGGGAGAGAGAGATATGGAAACATCAATGATGAGGGAGAATCATTGAGTGGCTGCTACCTGCACACCCCCTACCAGGGATGGAGCCCACAACCCAGACATGTGCCCTGACCTGGAATCTGGTTCATGGGTTGACACTCAACCACTGAGCCACACCAGCTGGGTACAAGCCAACCTTTAATATTAGCAGGGACTCCGCTTAACATACCCTCAACAATCTTGCAAAGAAGAGACTTTTACCATCAGCCCCATTTTGCAGATGAGAAAATAGAAACCTGAAAAAATTAAGTGACCTGCGCAAGGTCACACGGTTAGGGTGTGTCAGCAGCAGGATTTGCACCCAGGTTAGTGTGAAACCACCAGCCTGCAAGCCTCTGATGGAAGAAGGGGACGGCCAGCTTGCCCTGCAGCTCACACTCCACCTTTTGCAGCTGATAAGGGAGCCCTAAGGAGTTGTTCTGTCATTTATAAAGCCTTCCTGTCTCTGGGAGCAGTGACTCACACCATGTGAACTTGAGTTTCCCCATCTCATCTTTGAGGGTCAAAGGTGAGAGGGCTTGGTCAAAAGATACTTGTACCATCATCCCTGTCTGAGGTCCCAGATTTGGCTCTCTGAAGCCAAGAGGGCAAAGCATCCTGGAGACAGGTGGTGAGCTCTCAGCCCCAGAGATTAGCGGGCTCATCCTGCAGGGCCTGAGCTGGCTCGGGTTCCATTAGACAGTGTGGATTAGGGCGGCCACAGGGATTTGGTTAAAGCTGGCAGTGGGAGCAAGCAAAAGCCATGTCACCCTTCTCTCTTCCCCCAACACATATAGTATCTGTTTCCAGAGCTGTCCTGGCACCTCTCCCTGGAGGCCCAGATCAAGTGTGGCTTTACACATTTTAAAAGTTGAGAAGGATGGGGCATTTACTGTACAAACCTGGTGTTTGAGGTGTATGGGTTGGCAGCTGGGCTTGCACAGTCCTTTATAGCTTTTCCCGGCTCAGGACTTTTCAGACAGGGCCACAGCTGACATCACAGAGCACGTTCCCAACTCACAGGATCAGAACATCCCTGTGGCTCCTGAGTGAAGATGGAGCAAGCAGGGGCAGAATGCTTCACATGAGCAAGCAGGGGCAGAATCCTTCACAATGGTGCAAGAAGAGGTTGAGAGGATCTGACCAGTATGCTGGAGGTAAAAGAAAGAGAAGTAAGTGGGTTCCTGGCATGAGAAGAAGTAGCTATGAGGTGAGGGAGAAGAAGGCACCATAGTTCAGCATCTGGGAGAGGGGGCAGCATCCCTGAGAATGTGGGGACCAGGACCTGGACAGGGCAGAACCATGGAGAGCAGAAACCAAGAGTTTTATTTTGGACACAGGAAAGCCTAGAATCTTATTTGAGATTTGAAGGGATATGTTAAGCCTATGGTTGGAGTTATGAGTCTGGAACTGAGGGGAGAGGCCAGGGTGGGAGATAAAGCTGAAGTAGCAACAGTGAGTGTGTGGGATTTAAAGTGTTGGGATGAATAAGCTCACCTGTACAGAGGGTGTGGACAGAGGGTGAGGATGGAGACCCAGGCATCCCAAAGTCTCAACCAGGAGTTTGAACAAAGAGTGGCTACTGGAAGGGGTGGCCAAGGAGGTAGAGGGAGGATGGAGAGTGAGCGGCACAATGGCCAAAAAACAGGATTGAGGAAGGGAGGAAATTTATCACAATTAATTCAGCCCCATGCAGTAGCAAATGATCATTGTTCACCTCACGCAGATGAGACAACTGAGGCAGAGAGGTGTGGCCACTCCCCCAAGGCCACACAGCACAAGGGGCATGGGACTGCTCAGACAACCTGAGGTTAAAAAAAACAAAACCCTCAATAACCTTCACTGCTGAGTCTATGATTTCAGCTCTAGCTATTTCAATGGCCAAGATTCAATTAAATTAAAAGCCCAGGGCTGCTGCCTGCTGTATGCTTTCCACATTTCTAATCCCAGAGCTGGATGTTAAATATATATTTTTAGACTAGCCTCCAATTTAACAGCCACATGATTTTTATTACTCAATTTGTTGGGGAGCACAAAAGACTTGGCTGGAAAGTTGTAAGGAGGACATTCTGAGAAAAGGGAAGTGTGTGGAAGGCCGCCTGCCCTGTTTATCCGAATTCTGACTTAGGGGAGATTTAGGGGAGTGTTGAAGGTGGCGCCCCTAATTATTCCTTGACCTTTCCAAACAAGCCTGTGCATGTGCAGACCCTGGGTGTTTACTGGAATCCTTATGCTTAACCCCTGGATGCCCTTGCCTAGAGGACAATGTAAACACATGTGTCCTCCCAAGATTACTCACCTACTGATTGTATCTAAAGATAAAAATTCCAATAAAAGGCTAAGGAGCCTTCTCTTTCACATTTGGAGCAATCTGTTCATCCGTTGTTCAGGGGCTGGTGGTCAGCCCCAGCAAGGTGGTGCCCCAATGTGAGGACCAAGGAATGCAATGAGACACGTTGTGAAAGTTATAGAAAGTTTGTGGACATTGTAGAATTCTGTGAAGAGAAATGTTGAATGACACAGGCCAGTAAGCCAGGACAAGTAGAATAGGGAAACTGAGATGGTTAAAAAGTAATTTGGAGCCCTCTTGTAAATCCTATCTTCCCTAAACCAAGGACACTTAAGAGTCAATGATTTGCATTTTTGCCTCCCTAACCAGAGGGTATAACCAGATAGCAAATAGCTTATTCTCAGGGAGATTGATAGCAGAAATCCAATCAGTGTCATTTGCTGACCTCACCCAAGGACAAATGAAGTTAGAGAATAAACCTTATTTTAGTTAGTCCTTTTCCAGTCTGTTAAAAGTGAAAAGATCTTTTCTATTTTTCTACCCATGAAGCAAAAGTTCTATAAATTATTAAAATGGTTAATCATGGGAACTGAAGTTTGCTAGCCTATGTTTGTGCCTAATATACTTTGATATATGATCTTTTGGTAAAATAAATTTGACAATCCTTCCAGGGTTTAAATTTTAAGAAACTTTTTCTTGACCTAGAATTGGCTTTAGATCATTCCAATAGGCCTTCTGGAATGCCTCAATATTTGTTTTCTCTCTCATGAAGGAAAAATTTCTGCTTAAGGTATATGGGAATCTTTGTCAAATAATAATAACTATATTATGCTTTCATTTATAGCTCTAATTGTTATTCTGGAATATTGTGTTTTGCAGAAAGGACAAGATTCCATGTCATTTGAAAGTATTGCTGATTCTTAAACTTTTTGTTTTTCAGATATAAGGAAGCATTTTTAATGCAAATTTGGTAAATTATGTATTCTCTCCACCTGTCCCTCCAGAATTTGGCAATTCTTAATAAGTGGCAATACATTTCTTTGCATGAATTCAATAAGACCTGTTTCCAATTGTAGCTATATTAACCAAGATAAACTGATAATGGGCCTGCTTATAGCAGCCATGGCTTCACCACCTTTTGCAGAACTTGGTCTATCCAGCATTCCACAGGAATTCCTTACATTCCACAAGGGCAGCCCATCATTGAACGTTGTGTGTGTGTGTGTGTCCCAGTATCTCTCTCTCTAAAAAAAATCAATAAACATATCCTAGTATAAGTATTTTTTAAAAAAGTCCTCTTCCTAAATTACACAGGGTACAGTTTTGCCTATTTGTGACATTATGTAAGTGGAGAGGTAGTATTTTCAAAAGGAAAAACTTAAAGTAAATTTGATTACATCTTCAATCTGGTGAGGATTTTTAAAAAAAGGCTTTTGGGATCGATAAATGACCCTGAATGTCCTGGTGGGTCCATGGAATCATAGGGGGTCCTTATAAGA